CAGCCCCAGATCCTGCCAGCACCCCAGCGAGGGGTGCCCCACGAGCTCGGCTCTCCTTCCGCGAGCCACGGAGAGCTTTGCGTTCCGCAACTCATCTCTGGCACTTTGCAAGTTAAAGCTCACTTATCAAAATTCACAGCAGGCATTTACGTTGCTGAGGGCGGGCAGGGCAGGTTGGAAAGGAGAAGTGGGTGACTATTAATCTTGACCTTTCTTTAAAGCTCTTTAATGATTTTTCGAATGAAGGGGTTGGCGCTGTCCTCCCTCCGTCCCCTTTTCTTCGGAATAATCCTTGCTGTAATAAGCGGGTTTGTATTTTTCTTCTTTCGGTTGCATTCATAAAGCACCACGGCAAAAAGGTGCTTTTTTTTCCAGCTTCTTACGGAGAGGTGCGTTCTAAGCGCACAGCCTCGCCGCCAAACCCTGCTTTCCTGTCCCGAGGTAAAGGGTAATCTTCGGCGAGGGAGGGGCACAGTATTTGGGGGTCTAAAGGGAGGAGAATTTGCTTCTCTCCGTTTGGAACTGCTTTGATTATGTCTATTGGCCTTACCCTGGTCGGGTTTGTTCAACGACCATGAATTTTACACGTATACTATGTAATTCCAGTCCAAAGGAGAAACATCCGTCGTGTCATTTTGCCTCTATCTGTACTGAGATGTTAAGGAAGTCTTTCCCTACAACGCGAAAACTCAAGGCGTAAGTGCGTTTGCACAGCATCATCTTGACAATAAGAAGTTCTTTCTTTTAAGATGTATCTAATAAATCAGCAGGAAAATGTATCGAAAATATATTAGCTAGAAGTTTAAACAGTTCATATCTCAAATAAGAGTGGAAGACATGTTATAGGTAAACGAATAAAATTTGCTAGTGGAATCTGGATTTATGAATTGGATACAGTTTAGCTTAATTATGCACTATATAAAAAGTGCATAATTAAGTGCATGATCTTCTCTGTGTCATAGAAGAGGTCTAACTTTAATGGTCTTTTATTTTATTACATTCAGAACGTCTTGAAACAATGAGGACAGCCATAAAGAGAAATGCAGGTGATTGGATTATCGCGGTTATGATTATTTAATATTTGTAATAATACATTTCTATGGTAAATGTAAACAGTGGCATGTTAGATAAGTCAAAATATTTGCAAGTGGGGAAAATGGTTGTAGATTTTCACATTTAAATTGGATCCTTTACGAGAACAGAAGTTAAATCCATTTCTCTCGTTAAAAAAAGGGCAACTGAAAAACTACTACTGAAACAAGCTGAAACTCAAAAATAAGGTCTTAGAAGAATCATGTGAGTTTCTAAAATACCGAAATATTTAGTATGCTCGAAATCACAAGAAATTTAATCTATGATATTTGAGAGCTTCATTAACAGCACACTTGAAAGACTGACAAGACTGATTACAATTCAGGTCATTTTTTTTAATTAAAATACAGAAGCTTCGAAAATATGACGAAGTTCTATATTACTCTGTAAGTGTGTTTTCTGGAGTAGATGATGCTGAATTGGGACATATATTTTAAAGAAAATCTTAAAATGTTTCTCTGTGTGTGTAGATATTTTTTATGTTGATGAAGTCCTCCTGAGCTGCTCCGATGCAGAATGTATTTCGGTATCTGTTATGTCTGTAGAGCTGTGGGAAGGCTGGAGACGAAACCAGGGGAGGAAAACAGCAGCCAGTGGAGCACACACCAAACATGAAGCCACTTGGCTTCAGGCCATCAGACATGACAGTCAACTATTTTGGTACTTTTTCATGAGGGTTTTCTCTCCACCCAGCTTCCCCTCCCCTCTCCAGACCCTTGCTTTTCTACATTTGTCATAGTTCATCTGATTCAGCATGCATTTTTCCTAGCTTTACTTACTGAGATGCCTTAAACTCTTGCCGCAAAAAGAAAGTGCTAAGATGAAAATTCTTGCAATCCTATCTTGATAGTCCCACTAGGACTATATAAGTGTGACATTTCTTTCAATTAGTTGATAAAGGAACCAGAGTGCTCTACGCGTTGCTTCAGTTGCTGCTTTGATGTATGTACTCAAAGTATTTTTCATTTCCCAAAATATATTCTCCGAGGCGGGGGGGGGGCATCAAAAGCAGCTTTCAGACCACGAGAATTTTTTAAAACGTAAAGTAAGCCAAGCTGACAGCCAATCCCTTATCTGAACTTGGCTTAATCTGAATTTACCTTTGTGTGTGTCTGTATGTGGGGGCGGGGGTGTCAAATAAGTCATTTCAGTGGACTTTTCAACTAGTTTTAATTTATTCAGTTATTCTAATCCTAGACTCTAAATGGAACTAAATAAAGAAAACTTTAAAAAACACCTCCAAATCACTGTGTTTGGGGAGTTGGCCCCTAACAACAAGCAACAACCACAAACTGGTTGCAGGAATGTTCAATGTAACGTCAAACCGGAATGTCAGAGTCACTTCACAAAATATCCTTTCCACTGTGTTAGCATCAGTGGTGCCAGAGGAATGAGAAAACAGTGTCTCCAGGAGACTGAGACTTGAACCTGCAATACTTGTTAACCCTCAGCCTTCAGCTTTCTGGACTCTGCACATTCCTTCCTGACTCACTGTGCCTCAGTCCCATCAAAGAGCTGTGAAGAAGCATCAGGAGCTCAGGGAGCTGAAAGTGCCGGCATCCTAGGATGTCCTAAATTTTGTTAGGATTTAAAAGAAATTGACAGCGGCTTCTCATCTCCATCCCTCTCCTACCCTGACTCTCACCCCACTCCCACCACCTCCAGCAAGCGCTCTCGGCCAGGTAGATTCCTTGACTAACATGAAAGATGGGGAGCTGAATCCTGGATTTAGAACCCAGGTTCCTGGTATGGAAAGTGATGAACAATACTCTCACAGGCAAAACAGAAAGGTGGAGCAAAGAAGGGAACAGCAGCCTAAGGGTGATGGGCTGAGTGTGAGGAGATAAAACCCCAATTAGAACCTGGTTTAGTAAACTAGGTCTCTCTTGCCAGCCATCGTTCCTCAGGGCACTGGCCCCGGGGGCTCTAGCCATGCCCACTGGTTGGATTTGGGGAGGGCTGGGATAATGAACGTGGATTGGGAGTAGGTTTTTAAAGCCTGACGAAAAAAGCCATGCCTGTTCTGGATAGAGTAGCCAAAAGTATTTATCAAAGTGCTATGGTCAGTTTCCAAGATTATCCTCAAAGCATCAGGCAGAAAATGCCCAGGTAGATCTCAGGGAAGGTGAGACAGCCTCCGATCCAATTAGCCTCCAATTTCTTCTCCCTTCATGCGGCTTCCAGAAATCCTTTAAATAGTATTGTTTTAATTAATATTATTTTAAATTTATTGTTAATGCTCCAAAGGTTAGAGTTGTGTCGTTAGCATAAACTCCATCATAACCTCTCAGAATCCATTTAATGCAGCTCTTGGCAACCAGAGACCCAGCTTCTTGCCAAAAACTGCAGATTAAGCATTCGTTATGGGAGTTTGCCATTAGCTGTTCCCTCTGTTATGGGCACATGTGGTTACATGTCCCCATACATACAGGTGTAATAGATTTGCATTTCCAAGAGGCTCCAGGGATATTAAGTGAGGTTGGTGACACCTTGCACCCATCCCTCCAACCACTACCATCAAAAGTGGGGTTGAGGTGTGGGGTGACAACGGGTTTACCAGGCAGCTGTCGACCTTGGCTCCCCTGTAGTTTCCTCTGCGAGCCGGACCATTATTGGTTTACAAGTACTCTAGAGCTTGCATCATATGTCTTTCATTTAGAAGACACCGAGTTTTTTTTTTTTCTTCAGGGAATTTAGGGCTCTTAAGACGCATATTTATAAACACGCTGACAGAGCTCTACGACATAACCAAGTTTATAGCTCGGAGTTGTTTGTATATTTCCTCAAGTCAGCAAGGCGTTGTTCTCGCTGCTGTGAATTTTTGAAAAGCCTATTAAACGACCATTTCTCTTATCCTCCCCGTGTCTGTTAGAGAAAGTCAGGCTTTCAGAGTATCTGAAGGTAAGGTACTGAAGGGGAAGGGAGAGAATCAAAAATGATCAACCTACAGGGGAGTGAGTGGGTAACTGGACATCCAACGTTCCCGTAGGGGCGGCCCAGGAACAGCTAGAAAGTGCTCAGGAAGCGCACTGCTTGCTCCTCTGTCTTAAACATGGACAGGATGTCCTAGGGTACCCTCCCGCCTGCTTCTCCTAGGCCTCCCCCCCCACCTCCCTCCACCCAATTCCGAGGATACCACGCTTAGAGTTCGCGCACCTTGATGCAGTCTGGCATTCCCTCCGGGCGCGGTCCCTGAAAGATTTTCTTTGACCGCGCCCCTTTGAGATTTAACAATTAGTGGCTGGTACCGGCTGCACAGCTCGGGAGATAGTAACAATGACACAGCAACAGCTGTATCATTCATGAATAGTGTCAACTCGCCAGAACCTGAGTGCGCGCTCAAGGCCACGCTACGCGCGGCGCGACGTGAACTGAGCTGTGCGGATCCCCGGGAGAAGCGTCTCGGGAGAACCGGGGCTGCAGTTCCCGGCAGTCCGCTCGGGTTCCGCTCAGCCGGATCTGGGTTGAGGGCTGGCTCCGCTCCTAGGGCAGTACTACGGAGCAGCTCCGAGATGCGCAGCGCTCCCAGATTGTTCCTCCCCGGCGGCGGCCCCGGCGGCGGCCCCGGCTGGCCTCGAAGAGGGTCTCCCAGTAAGTCCTAGGTCAGCCAAGACCCTGAAGAAAGTGGAAATTTCCGAGCCCACCCGGAAGCTCGCCGGAGCTGGGCTTGGCCTCTCCACCCCAGAGTGGGGTCTGCCCGGCGCGCCCAAGGCCCCAGGGTGGCTGCCTGGCCTGGGAAGACGGAACAGGCGCTGCGAGAGCCTGTGCGGGAAAGGCTGTCGAGCAGAGGCCGCCCTTGGAAGACGCAATCCTTAGTCGCCAACCTGTGGGAGTGTTCACCAGATTTCCAGTTTAAAAGGCCTGTTGCAAATGGCGGCCTTTTCTTGCCCAGACTCTGAACGCTTTTTCCCTCGTCCTCCGCGGGCTCTTCGGAAGCCAAAGAGTCCCAAAGTCACATACAAGGCCTTCAACCCCGCAGGGCTGCCCTGCCCTCAGGGAGCCGCCAGCTCCCCGCACACCCACCATCCCTAGGGCGGGAAGCGAGGCCTTGGCCCAGACCGCGCCGGGACGCTGCCTCGCCGTTGTGCCCAGCTCCGCGCACGCCCCTCGTTCCCCGCACGGCTTTTCAAACTCCACCGCGACTCTTTAAAATTAAAAATAATAATTTTGTAAAAACCACGCTGGAAGCCTTCCTCTTTCATAAACCCCTTTGCCTAACGAGCCTCCCTCTGGCCTATACTAAGGGCTCGTTGGAGGCTCTTTTCCTATAGGAGTTCCTTAAAATAATCTAAATCTAATGAGAAAATCACGCACCAAGGCTAGGTTGGGAGAAGGGTGGGGAAATAAGGTTGGTATTGGTATAGTGGTTTCAGTGCCTCTTGCTCGGCTTCCCTCTCCCATCGCCACCACAGCCACACGCCGCCGCATTCCAGAAAGAAAGGAAAGGCCAAGGGCTCTTAAGCGCCGAGAGCGCCGGGACGCCGAGCTCCCCCTGGTTGGAAGCAGAAGCCGCCCTTCTACCACGGCTGTCCCAGTTAATAGCTGCCAACGCATCCGGCTTCTTGGGCTTCGGATTAATGTGGATCTTCCACATAAACGATTTACGGATGAAATAAAAGCCCTTTAGAGCAATACTTCCTTTCAAGTTCTTAAGACGCCTCTAAATCTTTCTGGTAGTGAGTGGCTGGCGTGGGGGCGGGGTGGGGACCGGGGGCAGGGCGGGCGGCCGGGGAGGGCGCAGAGAGCAGGAGTGGAGGGTTAACTGCTGTGCGATCTCACCAAGCTCTTCTGAAATGCCAGTCCACTGTCGCGTCGACAATGTTTCTGGGTGTCGTGGCTTCGTCCCTGCTGGCATTTGTCTGAAATGGAGCTGTCTGTCTAACCTAGGCCTGGACGCGCCCTGCCCGGGTAAGTGGGGGAAGATGGGGGTGGGGTGGAGGCGGAGGGGGACCCGGGGTGGAGTTAGTCGCCTGCCTATTTTCATATTCATTAGAACTGGGAGGTTGCCCGAGGAGCCCAGCTGAGTTTCAAGATATAAAAGCAACTTCGGGTGCCCCCTTTGCAGCCCGGACGTCTTAAAGGGCTCGGAGCCGGGCAGCTCCCGGCGCCGCAGCGCTCGCTTCCCCTTCGCTCCTCTCTGGCCCTCCCTTCTCCCGCCCACTCGCTCCCTCCCCCAGCGCTCTCCAGCTTCCGAGCCCCAGGAGCTCCGCGACAGCCTTCCAGGATTATGGAGTTTCTCAGCGAGAAGTTTGCCCTCAAGAGCCCACCGAGTAAAAACAGTGACTTTTACATGGGCGCAGGAGGCGCGTTGGAGCACGTTATGGAGACGCTGGACAATGAGTCCTTTTACAGCAAAGCGTCGGCGGGCAAATGCGTGCAGGCCTTTGGGCCCCTGCCCCGCGCCGAGCATCACGTGCGTCTGGAGAGGACCTCGCCCTGTCAGGACAGCAGCGGTGAGTCCCCTGCCCTGGCCGAGCTGCGGCAGCCCACCCGCTAATCCGGAGTGTGAGGACCGGCCCGAACGAGGAGGGCGGGAGGGAGGAAGGAAAGAAGGAAGGAAGGTGGGAAGGAAGGAAGGAAGGAAAGAAAGCGGGAGCGAGAGAGCTGGAGGGCGGAGGAAGGTAGTGGAACCACGCTTTTTTTAGGAAGCGGAGTTTTGGCTGCTGCAGACTTTGGGGGGAGCAAAGGAAGGATGCCGCGCCGGGTTGCCTCCGGCCGGTTCTCTTTTTGCTGTGAGTCTTGTCCCCCACGGGTCCTGGAGTCTCTCTACCCAGGACCCCGGCGTAAACTGATAGGGCGCTAAATAGAGCGTAATTGAGTCAAGACAGCGGGCTTCCTCTGCGAGCCCGCCGCGCTGCCGGGGCAGGAGGGGCTGAAATCCATCACAGCTCGTTAGAGGACGTCACTATCTTCACGAATAAGAAAACTTAGGTGAAAAACCTTTCTTACTTGCCAAGACGTAGCGATAGTTTTCTTTGTGAAGTTACAGGATTGCTAGATTAGCTTGTGTAGATTTGTGATTTCTACTTCTTTGCATTTGCAGTACAGCAGATAAATAAGTGTTCAACGCCAAGTCACTTTATTTAGCTTCGGGCAAAGAATCCTCAATATAATCGCTCACTCCAGAATTCTGCATTGTCTGTTTTTCTGACTCCACATTGGAAGTCACCTAAGAAGCCTTTCGGAATGCTTCTGGGTGAAATCTTCAACTTTGAATGGCCAAGTATCTCAAAGTCAAAATGTTATCAAAACAAACCATCTATCTTTTCTATCTTGTAACCCAATACAAACCTGTTTTTTTCAGATCGCGACAGCTAAAGCAAGTTTACAGTTCCAAGAGGACTTTTCCTTATCATTGTATATATTCCACAGTTGAGCTGTAAGGAGCGGGTTGCTTTAAAATAACAAACGAATTAAGTGTGAAATATTTACAACAAGCCTCCCGCCCCCTATTTTGATGGAGGTTCGAAATCTGGCAAGGCACTGGGTCATAGAAACTCATTTTCTAAATACTTAGTACACAGTAAACTTAAAAAACGACCTCGTGTATTTTACTTACTTTGTTCAACGTTGCAAGTTACTTTCGACTTCCAAGTTTAAATAAAAAATAAAGGCGCAAAGGCTAGAGAAAATCAGTTAAATCTCAGTCACTTATTCAGAAAGACCCGAAAATTGGTTTTTATTTTAACACACTAAATTTTTGGCTTCCTGGCTGTATTTCAGACCACAGCATCTTTATTTTGGAATTCTTAGGTGTATACGTAAAATTATTTCCACGGACGGGGTTTTTAAAAAATGGTTCTGAAGTGTCCTGTGTTGACTGCTGGATATGACTCAATCATACTATTTTAAGTTGTCAGGATTCCAAAATAAAAGAGATAGGTATTTTTAATACTTGATCAAGTTTTAAAAGAACATCATACTATTAAGATGAATTTTAATAAGGAAGTATTAAGTAAGATGAATGTAAGGCAACAAGAAGTCCGCTAAATTTAGTAAAATTCCTGTCTTTCTCCTGAGATGCCCTTACCCTCACGCCTGCTTCCCCTCCCCCCGTCCCTAATTACCGCAGTTCCCCGTTAACTCTGACGAAAGAGACAAAACGGTACTGTTAATCAGTCAAGGCTCTTCTTTATATTCAGTTTTACATCACATCTTCCTTTGCATAAAACCTATTAGGTATCTAAGTTATCTAGGTACTAAAGTTTAATGTATTTGTATAATGATTAAAGCAGTTGTAAAAATACATTATGAAAGAGAATTTTAAAACAGACAAAAACGAAAAAAGTTTCACAGTTCATTGGATATCACTGTTGTGGCTGGTATGACTTTTAAAAAATGCTTCCCATTTCTTATGCGCATCCATTGCGTGTGTGTGTGTGTGTGTGTGTGTGTGTGGCACCATAAGATATATTTTTGTTTTACATCATACTGCCAGCATGCACTCAAATCTGGAGGAAATCACTGAAATTAAAACATCTCTAAACAGAATGCCAGATGACATCCTTAATAATCTTTTAATAAAGATGCTTTAATTTCTCTTCTTTACTAGAGGGAAAATTAAAACTTTTTGTCTTAAAACAAATTTCATGAGCTAAGCAGAAATTTATATTTGGAAAGAACTGCGAGTTTTTAAGCTAAAGAAGTCTATTTAAATCTTACTTTTCTGTAGGAAACACTTACAGAAACCAATAGCAAATTCACTTTTAACTTAGCAGATCACTTTTTTGAATTAAAATTTTTAAGTGCAGACATGAATATATAGTTAAAATCATGGAAATATAGTAGAAACGATACTGTATCTTAAATCTCTAGTCCATAGGTTTTGTGTGGAGGAGAAATATAACTTTTGAGAAGAGTTTGAATTTTGGTTTACAGATACTATTTAAAATTGAAATACCTTTTTTGAGCCACCTAAGTAACTTAATTTTGTCTGCTGCAAATAAAATATGATATATTGGCTCACTTTTCAAAAATTATGCTCACCTAGGTGTTTTTTAAAAAAATGTAGAGCATCTTTTGACTACCTAAATTTGATTATAAATTATGTGCATAAGCATTACATGAATCCTGGAGAGGAGAACTGCGTATTTTTGGCAGATGAGTTCAGTGTATACATTTTAAAATGGTTTTAAACCTGCCCAAAGTGAATTAATAATCATACATAATGTGATGATCAAATTTAATACTGGCAAAATAAATCATTAACAGATCACTTCCCTGATGCTCTAAATTACTTCAACTTAATTCCTTCATGGAGATGTTTTGCAATCCTGAGAGCTGTTGTTTTCCCCCTCTGGGTACAGTGAACTATGGGATCACTAAAGTAGAAGGACAGCCTCTTCACACCGAGCTAAATAGAGCTATGGACAACTGTAACAGCCTCCGGATGTCTCCCGTGAAAGGGATGCCAGAGAAGGGAGAACTGGATGAACTTGGGGATAAATGTGACAGCAACGTATCCAGCAGTAAGAAGCGGAGACACCGGACCACCTTCACCAGCTTGCAGCTGGAGGAGCTGGAAAAGGTCTTTCAGAAAACCCACTACCCGGATGTGTATGTCAGAGAACAACTTGCTCTGAGGACAGAGCTGACTGAGGCCAGGGTCCAGGTAGGAGCCAAATGAAGGCTTGGGGGTGGGTGTGTGTGTGTTTGGTGGGTGGGGAGGTGGGGGTGGGGGTGGGATGGTGTTCGAATAATTCAATAGCTGTATTTTACCAATAAAGGAAGAAACTGATTCTCCTACTGAACATATAGAACAGTATAGTATATGCATGTCAGTCTATTAAAATTCCTTTTTACTTGCCGAGAATTTGACAACTCACACACAGGTATAAAACAAAAGAACACTTGAGTTGTTATATAGACATAAAAACTAACGTTTCTTTTAAAAGAACAGAATATGATAACAAACTTCTGATTTTAAAAAGTAATTTTTAAAGGATAAAAAGTCAGAGTTATAGCTCTACAGTCTAGTAATACATGTATTTTATTTTTCTATTTTATCAACCACTGAGGTTCTTTTTAGGTTATATACCCAATGTTGGTAAGTTATTTGTGTAATAGCCCATAAATTTATAGTTTAAGATTGGAGTTATAATAAAACAAAGAAAAGATGAAACAATCTCACAAACTCCCAATTGTTATATAAGCCATAAGCTATTTTCACTGTATATAATTGAAGAAATATATAGCTCATCTACAATTTTCTAGCCCCAGGAATTGCCAATGCATGCCATTCCATTATAATTTTTAAAATCTAGATAACATGATTTTTGCCGAGGCAGTAGTCATAATAATCTTAAAGTAATTTTTAAAAGTATAAATTTAAGTCAATTATATTTATAGATTGTATTCAGATTATCTAATTGGATGATTCAATATGCTTAATTTCTAGTAATCTGAAAAAATAAAATTATACTGATACAACTCTTCCTTTTAGGCACATTTTATTTTTACCAGCTTTGCTATTTGTGAACTGTATTATTTCCCCAATAATAGTAATTCAGGAGAACGAACATTTCCTTTGTGTTTTTACTACTCTAAGTAAAAAAATTCTGAGTTTTGCAATTCCTATAAACCACTAGACTAGAGAAGTAAATAAAATAGCAAAAAATTTTGTTCTGACTGGAGTAATAGTATTCCTTTTGAAGATTAAGCCATTGTAAGGCCCTCATACGTCAGTAAAGACAACATCTGGTGGTGCAGGATAACAAGCAGCAGATTTCTGCCTTAGTTTGTGGAGACAAATGGTTACTTTATCTTAGTTCAGGAAGTAAATATATAGAAAGTTGATGCTAAGGAAGAATTTGGACTTGTGAAGTGTTAACACGACTCCCGCAAGTGTGTTTTTAGGCCTTGTGTTCCTATATTTAAATTAGTTATACTTGTAACCATAGAAAACTATGTTTACACACTGAGTGATCAACTGTGCACAATGCAGGTTTCCCCTTTAACATCTCATCAAGTCCTGATTAATTCTGGTCTAAGACATGTACAGAGAGCCAGCCTGCACCTCATTTACTCAGGTGGTTCTCCTTCCTGCTTCTCACAGCAGAGTGGTAACCGGCCCCCATCTTAGGGAGATTGTCAGGGTCTTTTTCTCAATGAAAAAACTCTGATTACAGTTCCCTTAGTGCGCTCCTGGAGCCTGAGAGTGGGGCAGCCAGAAAGTATGTTTGGTTTTGCTGTTGAGGTTGTCTTGGGCCCTGAAATAGCGGCCAGTACACAGCTCCCAGCAGTGTTCGAAGAACCTGTGCTGAACAGGTAGCTCTCTTTGCCTTCTTTCAATTGGAAAACCCTTCAAAGTACCATCTTCAGTTGGCAGTGCATGCTCACACCTCAGACTGAGCTTTAATATGTTTCCCTAAGTGCGAAGGTAAAGATGTGAAAGATTGGAATTGAGTATGAAACAGAGTAGAAATTTCAAGTAAATGTTAATGAAAGGTTTTTGATAATTTGCATTTTTATCGTTCATTGCCAGCTTCTCCAAA